GAGAAGACAGGACGGACTGGAGATGACTGGAGTGTCTCTGAAGTGCAAACAGAGTTTTTGCCTAGTAGAGGAAGGAAAGATTTAATTTATTTGGTTTTTATTTTAGAAAAAGATAAAGAAGTGAGAGATCAGATCAGCCTAAGAAAATGTCAGCTGAGACTCATCCTTCCTGGGAATACTGTCCTCTCCATTTCCTGCTTGGCTTCAAATTGATCTTCTAATGTGCAATGTGAGAAATATTTCTGTGTGTTTTTCTAGAGCATTCCTATGCCCAGATGTTATCAAAGGTCTATTATACATGTTCTGTATACATGCATGCTATATACATCCATGTGGCATGCTTCAGTGGCATACAAACGACCTGCGCCAAAGGACTTAGGTGTCATCGAGGCGAGAGACAGAACTACCTTTGGGCCATTTGTGGAAAGGAAAACTAATTCAAAAAGGCTTGATCATCTCAAGCGAGCATCTTGGTGAGCAGCTGTACTGGAGACTACTGTGCACAACGCAAAGGCTCCAACCAGCTTTCCTATAACCTGCTATGAGACATTGCATATTAATTTTTCAGCAGTGTGTTCTCTTCTGCTGACTACCTAAAAAATAAAATACAGAAGTGCAGCAGAATACAAAAAGCTAAGCTACAGATTTATGAAACTGTTGCATTGTAAACCTCAGTAGAGAGTTATGTTTTCTTCTATTGTTTTCAGAAAATATATTTTTCCCTAATTGGTCAAAGTGGGATTAGCAGCTGGGAAAGCCATGTACTACACAAGGCCCTCTGGGAGCTTACAAAATGCAGGTATTTTCATCAGGATTGTTGTTCAAGCCCTGATTCACGCAGCCTCATCTTGTGGTGCAAACGAACAGGAGGATGGAGAAATAAGAGCCCCAGGAGCTTCCACAGTCTCTTGTGAATTTCTGGCTAGCAGAGCCTTTTCATCCTGCTGCTCCTTGTGTGGCTCTAGTCCAGCCTCTTGCTCAAGATGGGATCAGACTGTGTTCTTCAGGAATTTGTCCAGTCGGATCTTGAAAACCTCCAAGGACAGAGACTGCACAAGCTCTCTGGGCAACCTGCTCCATTGCCTCGCTGTCCTCATGGGGAAAACATTTCTCCTTACACCAGTCTGAATCACTCTTGTTTTGACTTTTGCCTGTCGTCTCTTGTCCTCCTGCCTTGCACCACTGAAGAGCCTGGCTCCATCTTCCTGGTGACCTCCCTGTAGGAGGTGCTAGGAGGCTGCTGCTAGGTCCTATAGAAAGCAAGCAGGTTAGTCAGGCATGGCTTACCTTGGTAAATGCATACTGATTTTAGTCTTTAGGTTTCTTTTCTTCAAGCAGTGGTGGTGCAGGTTGCGAGCAGTGCCTGGAGTTGGCATCCTGGCTGGATCCTGCAGTGCCCATGCGGTCACTCCTTCCACTGAGATCCGTGCTGTGGTCAGGGCAAAGGCTGCTGTGAATTGATCTAAGACACCTCCACTTGATGCCTTGAAATATTCATCTCTCACCCTTGCCGCTGCTGGAGATGGCACATCTTTTCTGTGCAATGCAGTATTTCGACACGGCAATGTAATACTGGAAGGTCCAAACAGCAAACCTCTCACTTGCTTATCCACCATAAAACCACATCTTTCTAGATACTCAGACCCTGAGGGATGCTGTCCTGAGTTCCCTGCTCTAGGTGACTCTGCTTTGTGCAGAGGGACAGGATTAGATGATCTCCAGAGGTCCTTTCCTACCGCAGCCTTTTGGTGGTCCTGCAGCTCTCTGAAGTCAACATTTTGCAGCTTATTTGGAACTCAGGTCTTAAGCAGGCAGCAGTCATCCCCAGCAGTCTGTCTGTGATCCCCTTTCTTACCACAATACTCTCCTTCCTGTCTGACCAACATTGCTCCTCCTGCTTCCTTCTCACTCCACTAGCCAGGGTGTCTCCATCTCTGTTTGGCCTGGAGCATGTTAATGCTTTCTCCAAGCTTAGTTCCCAGTGCTGGTCGAAACTCAATGTTGTTGGTCATTTTGAGTCATGACCAGCCTGGTAATGCCAAGATTGCAGGACCTCAAAGTGCTTTCCACTTCCCAGACTATGGTCCATAGCTCAGCATGTCCTAACTCCAAACAGAGGGAGAGAGCCGAGTATCTCTACCTCATCCTCTCCCCATCTCCCCATGTCTTTGTTTCCATGGAAAAGCGAATTCAGGGGTATGTGTCCTGGGTAGAGGTTGCAATAAATCCCCAACACGGAGGTGGCTTTCCATGAAGGAAGCAGCACATGAGCACAGCCCCAGCTGCTGACTGATATGTCCCATCTGTAAGAGGTGGTTGCTTGGGGCACATCAGCTAGTGCAGTTTTACAGAGCAGCTCATGTTCAGTGCTGAGCACAGGAGCTGATCATCGCTTTTTACAACTCTATTAGTTGAGATGTTTATACACACATGCTGAAGACACCATCTATTCTTCCTTAATCTAACCATGAGTTGGATTTCTTCAAGAGCACCTCCTGGTCAGGGAAATGACTTGCTTTGTTTGTTGCTCTTGTAGCCTACTGCTGAGACATCTTGGCCTGAAGATCAGGAGCTCATTAAAGGTTTGGTTTGATACCTGGGTGCTTAAGATGCTCCCTACTGGGTAATGGCAACATGAAGTCACTCTTCAGATTTTTCTTTCTTGAAGAGCCCAAAATAATAAATCGATCTGGATCAAGAAAAGAGTCTTAGGCAGAGTCAGGACATAACTGACATCATGTGGCTCCTAGTCTTAGTCCCAGACACAGCTTGTAGGTACCCTTCAAGGATCATCACTGCGGGATTTATTTTATATATAACACTGAGAGATTCTAGCATCAGTGAAAAAATCCCCAGTGTCCACTTGCAAATCTTGGAGTCATTTATATCCATAGCTATAAAAGTTGTATGCTGTTTATTTAGCTGGGCTCTTTTAATGTTCTGTTTGTTGTTTTGATAGTCTGTATCTTCTTCATATTGTAATCATATTAAAAGAGCATTCTTTTCCTGGAATAAAGAGGTAATGATTCACAAGAGGCATAATTATTCCATGTGGTGCAGGCAGGATGCTACTGAAAAAGCTACCTTCTTTATGTGTAAGAGGTTTTTATTGCAACTGCTCTACACAGTAATTAAATTCCTTTGAATGAGAAGGCTTGATTGGATTTTCTTTGGTTTATTGGGAGGAGTCTGAAAAGCAAGATATTTAGCTCAATTGCAATACAATTTTGGCATCTGTTGGAGGCTAGGGAGAAAGGTTCAGAGTGTCTGATTCCTCTTTCTCTTATGCTAGCAGAACTCCAGCGGGTTCAATTGAATTACGCTGTATTTGTACTCGTGCACGAATCAAGCTCAGAAAGCCCTGGCAGAAAGCAAAAGGATACCTGAACGTTAGAATTCAAATTGTTGGGCAAAAAAATGCTGTTAAAGGAAAGTTGCTTGCAGTTGCAAAAGCAATTGCCTGAAAGTGGGGAAATGTTGTATTTAACACTGTCCTTCATATCTGATGTTTACATTATAGGGAATCCAGCCTTGGCCCAAAATGAGACAAAGCTTTATAAAACAGGAGCAAATAAATCAAACGCCAGGTGGCTGAGTAACTAAGTCATGACACAAGTGCAAGGATGCTGGCCTGGACCAACTTTAGAATATATGACTTGTCAACTTAAATCATGTTTAATATCAACTATTGTATGCAACTGCCAAAGGGTTTTTAAAGGGAAAGAGTAAAAATGTGAATTGAAAGAAAAAACATATTAAGTTCAGCCTCAACATATATTAGCCATAGGGTTTGGGTTCTGAAGCATAAATTACAGCATAAGTGCTACCCACTGGTCGACAAGGTTATGCAATACTTCAGAAGGAAATGTGGATTCAGACAAGGAATGAGATGTGACAAGGTGCGGGAAGAATGTGGCATTGGAGGGGAAAGGTGGAGGAAGCCTCAATTCCCTCTTGCTCACCTCCAAGAACTTTGAGGACTCCTAACTCCTAACTCCTATTATGGTTGCAAGGGAAAGGCAAGAATTTGAGGCAGGTCAGGTCAATGCATCCCACCCACTGCATCCCAGTGGTGGCGATGGGGAAGAGCCTGGTGTGCAGGTTTGGCAGGGACAAGGGCAGGGTGACTGAGCTGGAGGAAGAGCCCAGCAAAACAGGAAAAAAGGGCATGACTGTGTTTCACAAAGACAAATTATGCAAGAAGGAACATGGTCAAGTCCTTTGGGGAGGGGATTGGGAGGAGGCATGGAAAATGGGACAGAGACATGGAGATTGTGCAAGGAAGAGACTGGGTCTCAGTCCAGCCAACGAAGGTTGGAGGGAGCTGGTGGTAACATCCAAGTCTGAGAGAAAATGGCAAAAAAAAGTCTTTGTACTACAAACTTGGGCCCACAAGCAATGTTCATGCTTTGCCTCACCTCACCCTGAAGTCAGGGGCCATCAACATTACACAAAGCAGAGGTCAGCATAATTTTAATTTCAATTTTAACACTGCAGAACAAAGTGGTTTATTACCTTTTTTTTTTTTTCTTCCAATTGGATGGCAGTGATTAAGAGCCAATAAATTGTCTATCTTGTTGTCCTCCCTTACCTTCAACTTCTATGTATTTAGATGAAAGACAGAGAGAGTAACAGCTCCCAAATGCTCCGGTCTCCATGGCATTCCTGGAGCACCATTAGGCAAATGAGACTCGTCTCCTTGGGGCCCCGGGTCAGTGCTCAAGGGCCACACAGAGAGTATCGCTGTGAAGCACCACGGACACCAATGAATCACATCAGCTCCAAGCCTTCCCGTGGTGACTCCACTATTTTGTATTTATTAATGCTCAGCAATGATCCCGCTGGGCTGCATTGGTAATTGGAAATGGAGCTCAACCTTTTACCAAAATATAGCAGTATTAGCAAAAAATATATATTATATATATATTTGTAGGGTTATAAATGATAAGATAAATAGTGATTGCATTTTGCTGCTCTCTCTTGCCTGGTCTCCTGAGCAGAAACACCCATACCTGAGGACTACGTGGCGGGCGCCGCGAGCGGGCAGCGCTGCGGCGCGGCGCCCGCCGACCCGGCCTGCAGCTGCGCGGGCCCCGCGTACGGCCCGCGGCCGAGCCCCGACGGGCGCCTTGCCGGCGGCTCCGCATCCTCCTGCGGCCACCGGCCTGCCCAGGGCTCGTCAGGGGGATCCTCCTCACCCGGCCTGCGGCGTCCGACCTCCAGTCCGACGAGGAACGGGAGCTGTCCTGAAGGAAACACAAGTGGTAACATAACGTCCTCCCTTTCAGCAGTGTGTGTGTATGTGTGTGTGTGTGTGTGTGTGTGTTGTGTGTGTGTTGGAGCCGGAGCAGAGTCTCTACTGACTGCCGACCCCCTGGAAAATTAGTGAGATGGGTCTGGGTGAGCATCCATTCGGACCACCCACGCCTCCACTTACAAGGAGAAATAATAACCCGCGTAGACAGAAAATCAATCTCTTCATCATTAGGTAAAAAGGTGAATGTTTGCTAGTGTTGTTATTAGTTATGTAAACAGATGTATTATGTATAATCACGTGGCAATCACAACGGGCATTATCGACTTACAGATATAAATATTAATACATAAAGCAGTGCTCCCCGAGATTGATACGCCTTACCCGCCTGAGACCATCTGTGCACAAGGTAGGAGGCAGAGCAAGCCCAGATATTAGTGCCAGGCTCAAAACATTCCAGCAAAAGGTTTTGTTTTCTAGCTGCATCACCCCTCTACCCGCTAAATCATAAACTGGATCATATTTTACTTGAAAAAGACTGCCCAGAACATGCATTTTTACAAATCATCCAGCTCTCTGCTCAAGGGTGTGGTATGCTTCAAGGAAGCAAAATTGTTTCCAGGTGTGAGGGCAGTGATCAGAACATCGTTGTCATCACCGCCTTCAGTCAAGAAATCAGCATTATACTCGCCTCTCCTCAGCTTTTTCCTATGATGTCCCACGATTCGCCATGATTTTCCTCAGAAATGATATGAATTCATCAAATTGTATTTAAATATCTGTATTTAAATATTTAAATATAAATTTATATTTGTATGTAGTATTACTACATACTTTACTCTTAGTTTCAGTTATCTTTGTCTGCATTTTCCAAGTTCTCTATTAACAGGTCTTGATAAGTAGTGGTTTTAGCAGCATCTTCACCCCTTACTAATTATTCAAACTTCATTTATGCATTTCTCATCTTGATGATGGATCTAACAAAGGAGTTGAGAGTCTCAGCCATTTTTAAGTGATTAATTTCTTTCCTTTCTTCATTTATTAATGGAATCAAGTGTCACTTCACTATTTTTTTTTCATTTGATAAATTTGACAAAGCCTTGCTGGTTTCTCTTACCTCCTTTGGCTAGCGTTAATGTGCTCTCCTTCTCAGTATTACTGTATTACTGCTTGCTCCTGAACTTCTATCTGCTTTATTCAATATTTTATTTATATTTAATATTTTAGAACATTCTTCTTCTTTTTTTTTTTCAGTTTTTATCCCTGGATTTCTTTGTTTCCACAAGTTTGCCTTCCTAAATATTAAATACCTGCCAAAACTGTCACACTTTGATATTATGTTCACTCCACTATTGCCTTGGCTTATCCCTGTGTTCTTCTATTATACCTAACACAGAAAAGCATTTGGATCTCATACTTTTGATCATTTACAGAGTCAGCTTTACTCAAAGCAAAGTGGATCATTTGAAAATGCACTATTGCAAACAAACTTGCAAATGTTCTTTTTACGCACCAGACGCACCAAATGGCAGTGACACTTCCCTTCCATCCTCTCTGCCTTCAGAAATTCAGACTTTCCTGAGTCAGGAGTGGGAGATTCATATTTAGTAAACCTCAATAGATTTTTCTTCTCTGAGTTACTGAATGGCTTATTTAATTATTTAATACTTTGCACATTTGCAGCATCCACAACATACATTGGTAGAGTTGCACCTAAAAGAAGTGTGTTGGTTGGAGAGAAGCCCTGAGCCCTGCTGTAAGGGAGTTTGAATCCATATGCAAGAGACTTGGAAGCTTAAAGTCAGAGTTCCTTAAGCTTCCTGGCTGCATCATATTCCCTTCTTGGTTCTGATTGTGAATGTCACCATTTCAGTCTTGTCACCTTGTGAAAAGTAAGCAATATGCTGACTGGGAAGCTAAGTTTTGGGTGACAGCTCAATCTCTTTTATCAGAAATTACGAAATTTCAAAGAAAATCATCCAAAAAAATCCAGTCTTTACAAAGTGAAAGCCTGAAAGATGGCTTTTTTTTTTTCCCCCTCCAGAACTGAACCAACAGAAAACTCCCAGTGGCCACACTTGAGCCTTTGCACGTTCCTCTGTTTCTCAAGCTTGAAAAATACAAAACCAAACTGGGAACAAATGAGGAACTAAGTCCCCAGGTTCTTTGGCCCCAGGGACCTGCGATATTTAAGTACTTTTGAAGCAGCTACAAGTGGCCTCCAGCTGCTATGTAAGACACTTGGGGGCAAAAGGACTCTCCCCAAAACTGCTTAGTGTTTCTTCAGGTCACTCATGCATTTGATACTTGCAAGGACTGGCTCATCCCAGACCACTGAGACAGTTTGGCCTGGAAAAGGTACAGGCTCCCTAGAACTGGTAGTTATGCAATCAGGATCACTAAAACTATTATTATCATTATTATTATTATTACTGTTATTACTGTTATTATTATTATTATTCCTGCAAACACCCCAGCTGCTTTCTAGGGACCCCAGCAGAGAGTTTCCTGCAGGCCACGGAGGGCAGTTTCGCTCCACTGCAGGCAGGCGGTTCTCGGCGCCTGGGATTTGCAGCGCGGTGACATCCACCCTGTCAAGGTGTCCACAGATACCTAACGACATCGTTTCTAGTGCTAAAGGAACTGTCCTGCTCCTAGTGACAGCCTCGTTTTGTCTCTTCCTGCAACAGTATGAGTTCTGAAGTGCTTCTCGATAACGCTGCAAGTCCTACCACAACCTTCAATCCTGCTTCTTCACAGCTATCACACTTGTCACCTAACACGCTCCTTCCACTTCTCATGGCAAGGCTGGGCTTTTAAAATATGCATCCTTCTGAAACTGCCTTTGTGCAGCTCTGGGTGCTTTTGGTTGGTGCTTTTGCAAAATCCCTCCTGCAAAGGTCTAAGTTATCTGTGCTCTCACGACGATGCCTCTGCCTGGGTTTCTCTCCTTTCTGGAGATAATTTATATGCTGCTAAATGATAAGCAAGCAAAGATGAGTAATTGGTGCATGCTAGGATCTGTTCTTATTCTTCTCTGCGTGCTTACAAGGCAGGGATGGGCAGCGCTCATTAAAAAGGGAAAGAATTTGTCTCTGAAACCTCTAGCCAATCCTTCTTATTTATGGATATTTTTGAAAAATAGCACGCCTTATTTATCATGGTAGGCAAATATCATGGAAACAAAAATCCTAACTGTGAAATGTATTGCAGTGCCTAGCAGAGCACGTTTTTCAAGCGGAATGGATGAGATTAAGTCTCAGAGCTCTCTCATTAATGCGATCGGAAGCTCGATGCCTAATTCTCCGTGATTATGCTAAAAAATTCCAAACAAAAAAAAAATCGTTTTAGAAAGCCAGTTGGGGTTGCTAACAGATAAGCATGCGCTTTTCCTGTCATCATTTGCCAAACTGAAGCTCTTAAATCAGAGAAGGAACAGTCAAGGACACCATAAACCTTTCCAAGCCCTGCTTACATAAGAAACAAACCCTGTACTTCCAAGTACGGAGAACTGCATATTTAACCACAACATAATTACCTTCACCTTGTCCTGCAGCTTGTTGGTTTTACTTAATTCCATTATCCATTTGCAGTGGCAAAGGAGGCCCCAATGGCACTGCTGGGCTCAGCTCTGGGCACCGCTGCTTCTGCAAACACAGAAGGGCTCTGGAAGCCACTCACATCCTGAAAGGTTGGGTGCCTTCAGCAAGGTGCCTTTTCTCTTCTCCTTACAAAATAGGGGGGGATATTTTAATTTTTGGGGGGTAAGGGGGTTCTGTTTCCTATTTCTCTGTGCCTTTGAAGGCCTGCTAGTTTAGTTTACTTTCAGTAGATCTGCTGCTCCTTATTATCTGCTCCAGTGCAATCAGAGGGAACCTTTTAAAATTTAATTCCCACCCCCATCCCCTGAGGCAAGGAAATCATTTAGGCCTGCAGCAATATTAAAGTTCATCTGTCACTCCCTTTCCACTCTTATCTATCAATGATCATGCTCCCTCTGGGGTCTGCTTGTTTGCCAAGAACATATTGAAGGGGGCTGGTATTTGCCTTTGCTCTGCTTGCAGGTTTAACTCCACTTCAGCATCGCATTTCCTTGGTGTGTCCCTGCATCAGTCGAGCTCTTGGCTTCAGCTCGTTCCATCCTTGTTCCCAGAACAGCTCCAAAACTGGAGCCTGGGATCAGGGGAAAACCCACATGGACTGAGGTGCCTTCAGCCCAGACCAAGCCAGGTCACATCAGGCTGTGGTGTTTTGGAGCTTAGCTGTTTTTTTCCAACAAACGCAGCTCCCATTCCCATGCAGGGAACAGCCGCTGTCTCCAAGGAGTCCCTGCGAAGCCTCCCCCAAGGATAACCTGCTCCTCCTCTTTTCTCAGGCACCTTTTCAGGCAAAATGGGAAAGTGCTCCCCTTTGATTACCTAGATTTCTATATTCCCTTCCATTAACGTGACAAATTTTTTGCCACCTGTCAAAAACAGGAAATTGGATTTGACCTAGATTACGATCTCTAATAATAATTATTGGTCTTGAGCACTCCCATCTCTTTGTAATCGGAGTATTCATTATCATCTTGATTAATTCTGATGACAGGATGGCATAGGATACCCGGGAGACACGCGGCTTCCTCATTTATCTAATTCTTAGGTTAAATGTGAATACCTTCAGATAAGAACAAATGTGTAGCACTTGCTCTGCTGCCATCAAACACTTTTGTGCTTAGTACAGGAGTCTTTTAACACAGTGATCATATTGAAACGCAAAACCTGGGCATTTGTGTAGACGTGACATGATTTATTTTTCTTTTGTAAATAAACAAATTCCACTTCAATATGTAAACTAAGAAGCTACTGAGCCAGGGTAAAATAAATAACAAAATATATTTTAAAAGATATGGAAAAACAGAGAGTTCCCAGGCTAGGTACTGAGTTTGGGACACTAGTCAGCAAGCTGATGACATCCCATTTTTGCCAATGACATTTAGAGGTAGTCAAGCACACACAAGTGAAATAGCACATCTTAGTTTTTTGAAAAAGCAGGAGCGAATTCAGCATTTAATTCTGGAGAGATAAATGAAGGTTAAGTAATCTTTGAAGAGTTAATATCTACACATAATTCTTGTTTTTAAATCACTACATGATATCTCAGGTAGAGATCTGAAAAGGTTATCTTATCTTCTTGGGCCCTAGAAAAGTTCTGGCATGTGCTTTCTTTAGAAAGGTCATTTATATTTTTGTCTTAAAAAAAAAAAAAAGGAGATTTATGCTATTGATCATTAGACTGTGCAAGAGTGTGAAGGGAATGCAGAGGGAATAGAATTCCCTTGTCATTTCAACCTTCTCTTGTCCCTGCCTCTTTTCCTTTAGATATTTCTGTACCTGTAAAGGCTCTCGGGGAGCTCTCTGTTCCCCTTTCGTGGTGTTTTTGGCAAGGGTCACGGGGCTGAGAGCTTCTCTCTCTTAAAGAGGAAAATGATCCCCAGGGGAAAACGACCCTCCGTAGGGGCACAGCATGGGCTATACCATGTGTGGAAACTGCAGTCCCGTGGGCACGGCTAAGCCCGTCCCGCTCCCCTCTGTTTCCTGGCAAAAGCTGGATTTTCTCCTTGCCCTTTGGTTGGAGCTTCCCCAGGGCAACATCTCCACACCTCAGCTGGCACCTGGAGCACCTGGAGCACCAGCAGATCTGCTGGGAGAGAAACACTGCCGAGACCAAGCCAACCCACAAGACCCTCTTCCGCGGCACTGGCGCCTCCATCTCCAAGAGAAGTCTTGGTTCTCCTTGGACGTTGCTCTCTCATCATTACTGGTGATCCAGGGGTTGGCTGAGATCACCCCGTGCATTTTGCACTCTTTGTCTCCATCACTTCATGCCAAGGGCTCCAGATGGCCCCTTTGCCGTTGGGTATTGCCTTTATTCCGCGAGCGGTGCCCGGGGTCGCGTGGCTCCGCGTGAACACCGATCCTAGCTGTCTAATTAAAAGGACCTGCGGCTATTCCATGTCCTTTATATCCAGAACAGCGACTTAGCAAATGAGAGTGTAATTATCATGATATTTACATCAGATCCCATTATGAAACCCATCGACCAGATTTGCACATTCGTAGCGCGGCTGCTTACTGGAGTTCATCCTTCATAATAGCAAAATTTGCCTCATTACATTATACTGTAAGCTGAGGGGGATGCTGGTAAGAAAAAAAGGACCAATATGCACATAAAACAGTTATTGTGCCTATATGGGCAGATCCTCAGATAATATAAATCAGCACAGCTCCATTGAAATCATCGAAATGACAATTTACATCAGTCACAAACCTGGCCCAGTACGTTTGCCCACATATATTATGATGTTTGGAGTCCTACATGGTATTCTAATATATTCTAATCTATCTTTATAAGCTCAGTATTTCTGCAGAGAGCTCAGCTCTGAGCCATTCTGATTTCCCTCCCTTTTCCCTCTTGAGGATTCTCCAGACTCCAGTTCTGTAACTGGTCAGGTGTCTCTGATCTCCCTCCACTTGCACTCTTCTTTTCCATGAAGAAAGGGCCATCTTCTGCAGTGTCTTCTTCTTACCATTTGCATCTCTCATTAAAAATCATGCCTTAACAACCACAAAAAAATAGTAAGTCCAGGCAAATGACATTTTATACATGTGTGCTGCCTCCTGCTAATGCAAAGTTGGCTTTGTGCAGATATAAACAAATGTGAGCTGCCTTCCTGAAACCTAGCATAATACAGTTCTTGTAATAGTGAAGTAGCTTGATGGGGGTCGGAGAGGGGAGGAACTGCACACACATGGAGGCTGAGATTTATAATTCTGCAGAGACTAAGAATAAAAACATAAATGCACTTTCATTCCGATGTGCCTTTATTCCCTTGATTTAAAGCTACAGCAAGCTGAAGTGACCTTAAATCATCCTGAGCTCATACCATTAAAAAGTCACACGTGCAGTGTTCATCTTAGCATGTTTTAGTAGCTCTCCAAATAGGCATTCATTGGGGACCTTCATCTTGGTGAGAGCCTCAGATTAAGCAGATACTGACTAGAAATGCTCCTCTAAGCTCCAAGATAAGGCTGGAAATATGAATGCTAAGACAAAAACTCCTTCCTAAATTCTAATTTAACCCTCTAGCTTTTTCATTCAGCAATGCTCCACTGTTTAGAGCCCAAGTGCTTTCTTTCCAGGTGGGAGGGTGGTGTCTTCTTGAGCCAGCATCCCTGTGGCTTGCAGCTCAGGTGACAGGGACAGCTAAGTACAACAGCCTGGCAGCTGGCACATTTTTTCTTCTCCAGCAGAAACCTGGGGGTTTCATGTTTTTTAACACAATTCACCAGTTGGGATTGTGTCTCCTGGTAAATGCTCAGATAGAAAAGTGCCAAGTCCCCTCCTCTCCCCACTTCACCATCTCCCACCAATACCCACGCAAGCAGATCCAAAGCCCACAGCAGTGCAAGGCTGCCACAGCACTGCATGCCCACAAAGCAAGCAAACCACTGCATGCTGTTGTAATGTGCTGACGTGGACTTTCTTACACCCTTAGCCTCAAGTCCTTCACCAGAGAGACAAGACATGGCTCGACCATCAAGCAAGAATCCTTTGACCTGGACTGTGGATGACGTGGTTTGGTTCGTGAAGGATGCGGACCCTCACGCTTTAGGTCCTCACGTGGAGCTCTTCCGGAAACACGTATGTGGAAGGCTGCCCTTTGCATAGCTGGGTAATCTAGGCCAAGTGCACAGGCACTACAAAGAGATGTGCCCCACACATCACACCCACGGCCTCAGCTGCTTTTGGCTGCCGTTGGCAGTGTTTGTGCTCAGCCAGGTTCAGGACAAGGTTGTGCAAGGAATTCAGCACCGCTGAGGGGTTTGGTCTGGAGAAAGATTCTCTTATCCTTTAACAGGAAGACCCTGATCACGTCTCTAGAAAATACTTGCTATCTGTTCCTGACTATGACAGCATAAATTGTGCCAGGCCTAAGAGAAAGCACAAAGGATCTGGTGCTCGTTTTTCAGTGTCATATTGACACAAAAAGCCTTGCCTCAGGGACAATTATTTCCCAGGGTACTTATGATTCTCCTCTGAAGAGTGTTTTCTATGTGTCTCTGGGTATTTAGCAGGAGAAGTCCAAAACAGCTATGCTTTTCATCTTTTTCACAGTATTATATAACGCTATAACTGAGTTTAACAGACCTGCTTACTCACTGATGGTTGCTTTCGCTAGGCAGTCTCCAGTGGTGGAAATAATATTATCCTCTAGCATTTCAATTAGTAAAGGGAAAAGCTGTAAACATATATCTGACCAAGAGCTGCTTGTTTTGTTGCTTCTGCATCTAATAGTATCTTCATGCATCCCTTCAGGTCTCCTTGATCAATTCAGTCTGACTGAAAATGGATTTTACTCTAAAAGGGATACATCTGTGCTCAGTCAGAGGTCATACCTTCAGCTGTAAGTGTCTGGACTTTGCTCTAGATGGAAACAGCTCCCCAACTCTGACCCCGATCAGCATTTCAGATTGTAAGCAAGTGAAATGGTTTGATAGCAGGTTCTACTCCTTGCCCTCGGGGCCAGGAGGGGTGGATGAGTAGGTGGAGCTGCAAGTAAAGAGCCTAGTGAGACAACTGGGGACACTCAGCTACACAACCATGTAGAGTTTTCAGACATAGGGAGCAGGTGCAGTTGAAAAGCAGGGACAGATGAACATCAAGATGTATTCATTGATGAAAGTCTTGATGTCTCCTTACCCTACAAAGGCTTCAAAACCATTTGCCATTCCTCAGGCAGTTCAGTAGGATGGGGAGGGAAGACATAAGTACACCAGGACCAAGAGATGGTCAGGTGCTAACATAATTTCCTCACCTACTGCAGATCAGTCAGATCTGCCTTGTAAAGTGCTTATGAAAATCATAGAATCATAGAATCATAGAATGCCGAAGGTTGGAAGGGACCTCAGAGGTCATCAAGTCCAACCCCCCTGCTCACACAGGGTCACCTAGAGCACGTGGCACAGGGCTGCATCCAAGCGGGTTTTAAAGATCTCCGAAGAAGGAGACTCCACAACCTCTCTGGGCAACCTGTTCCAGTGCTTTGTCACCCTCACAGTGAAGAAATGCTTCCTTAAGTTCCTGTGGAACTTCCGATGCTTCAGTTTGAAGCCATTTCCTCTAGTCCTATCACTGTCCACCACTGAAAAGAGGCCGCCCCCCTCCTCCTCACTGCCTCCCTTGAGGTATTTATACACGCTGATCAGGTCCCCCCTCAGCCTCCTCTTCTCCAGGCTGAACAGGCCCAGCTCCCTCAGCCTTTGCTCAYAGGGCAGATGTTCCAGGCCCCTGATCATCCCGGTAGCCCTGCGCTGGACTCTCTCCAGCAGCTCCACATCCCTCTTGTCCTGGGGAGCCCAGAACTGGACGCAGTACTCCAGATGTGGCCTCACCAGGGCTGAGTAGAGGGGGATGATCACTTCCCTTGACCTGCTGGAAATGCTTTTCTTAATGCACCCCAGGATCTCGTTGGCCTTCTTGGCCACCAGGGCAAAATGTGGCATAAGTTGGCCATGAGGACACCAGGGTAGCTGAACAGCTTCAGATTTAAAGAAACTTGCTTTGACATGACACTTTCAAGAGAGGCTGCGCATCAAGAGACAATCTGCATGCGAGGGAATCACCACTGTCTTAAGGCTTACAAGTGCATCACAAGAAAAAGTTCAAAGTTGATGTTGCAAGATACATTCAGTGCAAAATCACCATGTTTGTAGAGCCTGCACTTCTAGCAAAGGCTGTTTTTCACACGGCAACCGTGCTGGGACAGACTATGACCTTCCTGGGCCAGCTGCACTGCAGCGTGCCACAGCACTGCAGCTGCTCTGTGACCAAAGAGAGCAAGCTAAATTGCCACTAAAGACTGTTCCTGTCATGCCCGGTGAAACATCCAGTACCTACAGGTTCTACTTATCACTGGTTTCCTTGTAAAATATGCAGTAGGTCTGAGAACTTGGGTGAAATTACCACACAACTCAATTCAATTATGCCTTTGAGTTATATATGTCCCTGCAATTTTTCAGCCTTCAAATCTCGTCTGGATTAGCATGGAGACCCCAAGGGTGAGAGACAAGTGATTAGTCCATTAACCTTAGCCATATCTTCCTATACGTTCAGTCTTTCCACGAAGCAGGTGCATAATTTACTTAGAAGCACTTACTGTCATTGACAAGGCCCAGCTATCACCTGAAGTTGTCGCTTTGGCCATCAACTAATCTGAGCTATGACACTGGGAGGGAGAGGGCAGTGGGACCACAAGGAAGAAAAGGGTGTGGGGAGGAATACTAGATGAGGACAGTGCTTTTGCACATTATCATATTAAACAAAAACTACTAGAATTTGGGTGTTGGCTGTGGTCTCTGGAGTGGGGTCTCCAACATGCAGTAGGAAGCTGTCATCTGCAGCTGCAATATGCATGTGAGATCACTGTGGTCCTCACTCTGCTCTTCTCAACAGGAGCAGAAGCTTTTCCTCTTGCCAAGATGCACACAAATAGCTCTTGAGGGTCCTCCAAGACCACAAAACTCCCTCTCCTCTGCTGTTTCCTTATTCCCTCAGCAGGACTGTATGCCAGGGAAAGCCTGACTCACACCTGATAGGTCTTTTGACCCCTCACAGAGGAACCACTGGCCTGACAGAGACTTCTTGCAATACTAGGGCAAGAGCTTTTATCAGCACGTGATGGTTGGAAGATTGGGGAAGGGAAACAGGAGGAGAAAGGACTGCAAGGAGAACTAGCAGGTGGAAAATGGAAGCTAGAAGGATTGAAGCAATGTTGTGATCTGACAGTTTAATTATGGCGCTAGTGATTGGCAAATGCATGTACGAAAGAGACAAAAACCTTTGAGTTTGATGTAATTAAGCCCATTCATTCAAAGGACAATCTGCTTCTGCTTTTGCTGGATGTGAGCACGCATTTTCTCCTAGGTCATCTTCATATCCTTTTAGCATATTCCACTGTGGTGACCACTTGCTCCTCTCCTAAGGGTGGCCTCATCAGGAGCTTAGTATCTCGTCATGAGGCTGCAGAGCAGAAAAGAGCAGACGTTATTCCTGTTCACTGTATAAAGTCTTTTATTTCACTCAAAAGTAGGTGCTTAAATACCCATAAGGATTTAGATGTTTGTCTTAGTCATTGAAAGACTGATCCTGGGAGACATCCACAGATGGTTGCAACTCTTGCTCCCATTGCACAGGGTTTGTTTAAGGGGTGCTAGTATTCACAGAAAAGTGCTGCAGGAAGCAGGCACAAACACCGTAATCCTCATTCCGACAGGCAGAAGCTGCATATTTGTTTTTCATCCTCATACAAACATTAATTGTATGTAAAACTTACTATTTCTTTTCCCCTGCTTCTTTAAAAGATGAGAAGGAGAGAAAGGGGCAAAGAGAGGTTCTATTATGGATGGGGTGAGGGCTGCAGAATGAAGAGCATCAATTGATTGAGTTAATCAGAAAGTGACCTTAACTGCTCATCAGCTAAATCACTTACTGAATGGAATAATGATGATCAGGGCAAATTAGGATCCATAGTATTGCTTAATTAGTAGGCAACGGATCACAGGGGAAAGGCTTGCCCGTCAGAAACACAGAACACAATATATAATACATTATTGCACAGGTAGATGTATACATATGCACATACAGCACTAGCTGTGATGAAGCAAGGATCTAAATGAGGTGCAGACTGCAGGGACAGGTAGTATTTTTTAGCAGATCCACTAATACAGTCAATAAAACCCAGACAAGCCTGGGATCCAAGGCAGGGCTGTGTCTCTGAAACCTTGTGTGCTCTCTTATCATGTGAGAGGAGGTGCAGCAAGAGATAATCCATTTCCTTGCAAACAAATGCTCTTCTGCGCTCAGAACAGCACCCTTGTAATTTCAGAAAGGTTTTAAAGCTAATAGGTCTGAGATAAAAAAATGAATTTGGTGGCAATTGCCTTCACTTAGACGGCGCTTAAATTAAATTTGGCTAAATTTTGCTAATAAATCCAGTGAAATATGTAAGTAGCTGTTATCTTCAATTTAAGAACAAGAAATAAAGATATGTCTTACTTGACAGAGGTGAATTGGGGATATATGAAACATGCAGACAGTGACGAAGCTGGAATGGGGATTTTGTGGTCCATTATTAGCGGTTCATAAGGCCACATTTTTCTCTCTTGCTCTTCAGTTCTTTCTCCTTCTTTCTCCCAAGGTCAATTTGCTCCTCTCAAAATTAGAATTGGGCTTAGAGCAATTCTGATTTTTTTAAACATATGTGTTTTTATTGCAGAAGAATAGAAAATAATCAAACCTGATGATTACCAGGAAAAAAACCTATATATTTTATATGTATTTTTATGCATCTCTCTCTCTCTCCCTATATACATATATATATATATATATATATATAATCTCCTTTGTATTTTTATTTTTCCATACATTTTTAATTCAAGGTCTCTTTCTTTCTTTTGAAACCAGGAAATTGATGGCAATGCTTTGCTGCTACTGAAAAGCGACATGATCATGAAATACCTGGGCTTGAAACTGGGTCCAGCGTTGAAACTTTGCTACCACATTGATAAGCTCAAGCAAGTCAAGTTCTAACAAGTTCTCAAGCCTGTCCTAAGTCTGGACAACAAATTAAAGGTAACATGTTGCCTTACAGACATGCATTCATATACGGATTGTTTTCCTCTCTTTTTTAACAGACTTTTATCTTTTTTAATATTTGTGCATCTTCACCTTTTTTTAATCCAGTGAGGGCATTCGGGCTGCTTTGTGTTTCCAATTTGCCCAAAAGTATGTAATTACAATAATTACTTTGTATCATTAATATTATTATGGTTATAGCAAGCCCTATTTTTGTAATCCGAAGTGGGAGGCCAGAAACACACGCAGCTCTGGCACAAAGGGAGGGAGGGCTGCAGGAAGACCATCGGTCACAGAGTCCTTCCTTCACCATCCATCCATCCATCCATCCATCCATCCATCCATCCATCCATCCATCCATCCATGCTCCAAGAAGGAGGAGCAGCTGCTGCCCTGTGTTGGTAGGGTTGTGACGAGAGAGCAGCGCTGACACCAATGCGCGAGGCCCGGGAAACGCCCGGGCTTTGGTCAGCTCTTGTCTCATGGGAACTTCTCCGTGTCTTGCACTATCTGGAAAACTTGAATTCTTTAGTCTAAATGGAAAAAAAACCAACAACAATAAACAAAGCAAAAAGAAAAATTCAACAAAAGAACAAAAACAGAGGAAAGAGCAGGTTTTCTGCAGGCCAAAGCACTCTTTTTTCCCACTAGAGGGAGCAGCCCTAATAGACTTTGGGCTGAGCTCTGCGGATGCGGAGGCTTTCCTGGCAGAAGAGCTTTGGCCTTCAGGAGTCTCCTATCTCTAATTCCAATAGGGAACCGCCGGCTCCCAGAGGGATGAGCCCATCACATTTACAAATAACCGATTCAAGAGAAGCTCCAAGGCAGAAAGTGTTTCTGACAGGTTGTTTCCCAGTAAGGTGAAGAGGGGTGGACGGCTCCCGCCGCGGCCTGCGTCCTTCCTGGAGCCCTTTCACCCTACCTTTTAGCTTGAGGTAGTCTGTAAGGAAAACAACAAGAAAAGGACTCTCTGCTTTTGTTTTTTTATCTTCCTGTTTTTAAAAAGCAAGGGCCCGTGGCAGCAGCATCCCACACAAGGCGCTGGCAATCCCAAGCCAGCTCCTTGTGTGGTACTTTTGCAATGATGGTTGGGTCCAGGACGCATGGGTGCTCCAGGATGCTTCCCTGGCTGAGCTGCAGTGGAAGGGGAAGCACCAGGCTTTAAATCTCAAGGGAATTAAAAAATAATGTCCTTCGAAGGATGTTATGTCCTTTGAATATGTCAAATGTCCTTCCTCAAAGCCAAAATGTGGTTATTGACATTCCCTGTAGCCAGGCCAGGAGAAGGGCAGATCTTAGGCTAGGAGGCAACTTGTAGAGCAGGTATAGCCTCAATTTCGTCTTTCAGAAACAAGCATTAAGAAGGGACACATCCATTCATATAGTTAAAACCCTTAGTGGGGGGTAAGGAGTGGTAGCAAGTGTTAATGTTATACAGATTACTTTAGAGTCAGCCTTGACTGAACTGGGAAGTGGGGTGCTGATAAGATGCAAGGCATCACACTTTCTGACTCCGCTGCAGAGGTGAGATTTATTTTTATTACCAAAAATACCTCATGGAATAACATTCAGTTTGATGTATGTTGCTAGAACAAATCTCGTACAAAAAAAAAAAAATCAAAAATCAATCATGAAAACACTCAAGAATATGAGTAAGCACATCCCAAAGGTTTTCGCTAAACTTTTGGGGGCTGCTCTTCCAAATTGATGAAGTTGTCTACATCTGCTTGCAGAACTGGATCTTCACATCAGTGGCCAATGTTCAGCACATCCTGTCATCACACTGAAACACCTCTAAAATGAATAGCTGAACGCGTGTGCCAAATGAGAAGCCCTGTAATATCAAGTAACATAATATACTGAACTGCAACATGCTGCTCCTTAGAACTTAAAACTTATCTGAATCAGTGTGTACCCGTGTGATGGGAACATCAACACGAAAAATGTACAGTTCATTTTTCACTCTGACTTTTTTTTAAAATGAATCTTTCCTCACAAGGAGCCCCAAATTTGTAAAAATCTTGCTGTATCAGTAATGTCACGTTCAGAAAGTATTCAAATAACCTGTTTTGTTTTTTTCCACATACTTTTGAATATAGATAGTTATTCTCTCAGAAAGGTGATTTTAGCTCCTACACTTAAAACTCAGCACACTCTAGCATATCAGTAGTCAGAGCTGGCTGTCAGATGGCTTCATTGCTGGAAAACACAGCTTTGTCAAAATCAAAACTTTTCCTAAAAGCATGGTGCTTTTGAACATAAATCCCTGTCTAACTGAAATTACCTTTTGGTAATGTCAGATGTCATTTTGACATTTAGTGTACGGAAGGTTTTATCTCAAAAAACTTTTTTATTTTATTTTATAGTATTTCCCTTGAGATCTTGTAACTACACATTTTTTGTTTTGATGAAAGTAGGAAAAACTCAGAACTACAGAATTTCCTGAAAATGAAACGTTCCCCTTCAGCTCTCTCCCTCGCCTTCTCTTTCCCCCATCTCCCCTTCTCCAGACATCACAACTGAGAAGCCTGATACCTACACAGTATTTACATCCTGTTAAGAGGCAGTAATGTTCTTACATTTAATGTGCTGAAATAATTTTCAGGCAGGGGTCTAACACATACAGTCAGTGTTGCTATTTCATTTTATATTGAACTTTTAGGTGTGACAGAACTGTTCAAGCCAAGACACTTCACGATCTTTCCTTTTACAGGGGAGGCTTTTAGCAGGTTCTTTTCACATGAAAGCAAAGCTTATAAGAAAAATCCTTCATCGTATGTTTTCCAACTGAAAAGCAATTAGGAGGCAAAGAATCTTGCAGTAATATTGTAATTACAGCTAGTTTTTCTCTCGCAAGCCCTGTCAGCGAGGGCTGTTCAGTGGCTCAGCTGTGCAGCGCGTCAGGCCGCTTCCCCAGAGCAAGCCCTAGCGAGGCCCAACAGGCCTGCCCCTGGCTTCTCTGTTAGCTGCTGGTTTCCCCACTGCTTGTGCCTCTCCACGGAGAAGGACCTGGGAGTCCTGGTGGACACCAAGTTAACCATGAGTCAGCAGTGTGCCCTCGTGGCCAAGAAGGCCAATGGGATCCTGGCTGCATCAGGAGGAGTGTTGCCAGCAGGTCAAGGGAGGGGATTCTGCCCCTCTCCTCAGCTCTGGTGAGGCTGCACCTGGAATATTGTGTGCATTCTAGGCTCCCCAGTATAAGAGGGACGTGGAGCTTCTCGAGAGGGTCCAGAGAAGAGCAACTAAGATGATTAAGGGACTGGAACATGTCCCATACAAGGAGAGACTGAGTGAGCTGGGCCTGTTTTCTCTGGAGAAGAGAAGGCTGAGAGGGGATCTGATCAATATATATAAATACATGAAGGGTGAATGTAGCGAGGAAGGAGCCAAGCTCTTCTCAGTGGTGGCCAGTGACAGGACAAGGGCCAGTGGGTGTAAGCTGCAACACAGGCAGTTCCATCTCCATGTGAGGAGGAACTTCTTCCCTGTGAGGGTGCCAGAGCCCTGGCACGGGCTGTCCTGGGAGGCTGTGGAGTCTCCTTCTCTGGAGATCTTCCAAATCCGCCTGGATGCCGCCCTGTGCCCTGTGCTCTGAGTGTCCCTGCTGGAGCAGGGGGGTTGGACTAGATGATCTCTAGAGGTCCCTTCCAACCTTGAATATTCTGTGATTCTGTGATTCTGTAGTTACTTCTCTTGCCATGCTGCCCATAGTCCTCCCCTCGGGCCGGCGCCAGCCCCACTGCCTTTTTGAGCTCTTCTAAACGGGTGGGTGTGCATGTATTCCCTTAAGAACAATACATACATCCATCTTTTCTCTTTTAAGGGCTCACAGCTGGATGGAAAGGCAGGTCTGGTGCTGCAGGTAGTTTTAACGCTTCATGAGAATGTGCTTAAAAAAAAAAAGAAGGAAGTAGGCAAAGTGTAAGGATGCAGGGAGAGAGCTGTCCAGCATGACTACTGCCAGCAGGCGCCCCGAGGCTGACACCTAAAGCATCACTCAGCCCATCCCTGGGTTTCTGCATGTTGGCAGCAGCCTTCAGGAATTGCTCGTCTTTTTTTTCCTTTTTCCTTTTCCTGAAAGAATGATTGGGATAAGTGAAGCTGAACGTTTTTAACAAAAACAGTCAGAATCAGCAAAACAGTAAGAAAATGGTCGATGAATTCTTGGTGTGAGAAGAGAAGGGCCCTCTGTTGGATTAGCAGCTGGAATATAAACAGTCATTTGGTTCAATTAGTGCTGCTCATGGAAGGGAAGATGAAAATGGCAGCATAGGAGCAGCAGTGGGTTTACAGACAGCAGGAAAGTCTGCCCTGAGCTCGGTAGTCCCAAGTGTCCCTTGGAGCCAGAGACAGTCCCTTCCAGAGAGAGAAATATGGGCCCAAGGCAGCAGGGGTCTGTTGACTGATGCTACTTCCACATCAACAAGCTTGGAACTGCTAGGAAAATAGTTCAAAATCCATGTGTGGGGAAAACAAAACAAAACAAAACAAAACAAAACAAAACAAAACAAAACAAAACAAAAAACAGGGAAATGGGTGCACAAAACCTGAATAAGAGAGCTCCAGAGCAGGGCCCACACACCATCACTCCCCTTGTCACTGGTAACCGGGTCACATGGAACTGCAGGAATTTTGCTTCTCTTCCTAAGAAATACAGTCTTAAATTTGCACACCTTTGCCAGAGAAAGCAGGCAAGTAACACAACGCCTTTGATTCCTTGCAATAGCTACATGCTGCTTTCTAATCCATACTCCCTTCATGCACAATTGGAAACGGATTCCCTCGGAAATCTAAAATTTTACTCAAAAAAAAAAAAAAGAAAAAGAATCACTTTTATTCACTGCCATGAGTTAAATATTATGGAAACATGTCTGCTAACAATTTGCTTTGTGTAATTTGTACTAATGCTAATAAGCACCAGCTGCAGGGCTTCCTGCTGCAGAGTCTTTTGTGGCTGCAGCGGTAT